AATATTTAATTTTAAATATTTAAATAGGACTTAAAACAACATTTACTTTTTAATTACGTTAGAACAACTTTATTAGAAGTACTTAGCGTGTACATTAAAGAACTAAAAATAAAGTAGTTAATTAGTTAAGTGTGAACTATTGTTTATTTGTTGTATTTAGTTATAATTTTATAGAGATCATGAATTTTTTTCCAGAAATATTTTGTATTGCTTTAAAAGGTATAGTAGTTCAAACATAATAATTGTGTACATTTATAAATTTACTAACTATAGATTGAGAATTAAATATCAGTTTATTTAATTTTGAATATTCATGTATAATTTAAAAACAAAACTAATTATTGAGAAGTAAAGTGTAAGAACTGTAGTTTATTAAATTTAAGTTGAAAATTATTCAAAAGCACTTAATGCTGTTATAAAATCTTTAGAATTTAAAATATATTAGTAGTATACATAAATATGTTTACTAATTGTAGATTGAAAAATAAAATACTACATAGTTTAATATTTTAAATATTTATGTACAATTCAAAAAATTCTCTTTTGTACAAATGTGTTTGAATCACCGTTTTTTTAAGAAAGGTTAAGAATTAAAGTTTATTGAGTTCTACAGTTTATGCTTTTACAGCTTATTAAATGTAAATAAAAATTAGCATAATAAAAATTAGTTATAAAAATTAGAAAAATAAAAATTTGTTATAGCTTTACAAAATTTAGATTGAAAAAACGCTTAAAAGTACTTTAGATTGTTGCAAAATGTTTAGAAGTATTTTGTTGTTGCAAATAAAGTTAAATTTGGAACCCTGTTGTAGTAACATTAGTTACACTGTAAAAGTACATTTATATTGATTTAGAAAAAAATTTAATTTGACCTAGAATTTTAATTTAAATTTAATTCTTGTGTTCGAGTTCTATCATACAAATGGGTTAGAAAAATATTTATAGAGATGCGTTATACTGTTTTATAAGAATTACAATCTCTATTCTAAAAAAAAAAAAACATATATTTTTTGTTTTTTGACTAATTCGAAAGTCTGGTGAATACTAAATTTGTACCAACTGAAAAGATAACACGGAAAAAAATCCAGTATATTGTAAGTGAAAGAAAGAAAAAATCTGATAAAAATTGTAAACTACGATCAAAATTGTTCGTGTTTGAAAATAAAAAGAAAAAATTCGAAAACAAAATGTTAAACAGAGTTTTTGTTTTATAATTGTTTTCTTTCCTTTTGCTTTATTTTTTTAATTTTTTTTTTTGCTTTCCTTTTTTTCAACTTAATTTTAACAAATATTTTATAAAGATGCTAGGTTATGTAATGAGTAATGCAGTTTTTTATGCGAAATTATTTATTTTGAATTATAATTTAAACAAGCTGTCTTTAAAGATAATATTTTCCTATTTTTTATGAGAGAGCATTGCAAGATTTTTAAGGTGTTTAATGAAACACAGAAAACTACACAAAGTTTGCTGATTATGATTTTAGAAAAACAGCGTTTACTGTTGACTCCACTTTATAAACATACCATCAATTGCTAATACGGATTTAAAAAACAATAATTCTAGAAAATTCTTTATATGTACTTAATATTTTCTTTCATACATAATGTGTTAGATTATTTTAAATATCTAGTAAATTATGTATTAAAAATTATTATAAATGTTATATTTCAAATAATGATTATTATGTTTCTAATTATTATTATATTTCTTCTTATTATTATGTTTCTTCTTATTATTATGTTTCTTCTTATTATATATCTAATTATTATTATTTTTCTAATTATTAATATGTTTCAAATTATTATTATATTTCAAATTATTTAATAATAAAGTTGAATAAAGCTGCGATACTTTGAGTATATCATCTGTAAAAACCTTATTTACTGTAAAATACATTTTTATCGTAAAATATTATGCCTTAATTTTTACAGTAACATTTGTATAATTAGAGTGATTCAGTGATTTTACTGTAATTATTACTGTAAAAATTATGGTACATCCAGAGTTTTTGCTCTGTAACTCACGTTCCATTAAAAAGTTTTTTTACTGAAAAAGATAAGTCATAAGGTAAAAAGAGTGCCGGTGCTTTTTATCGTAATTTGATTCGGAATTTTTTACAATAGTAGTAATAATTATATTAAAAATTAAAATGCATTTTGGAGAGCATTTGCTTACTCGGAAATGACCCTGAATTGGCGTAATTTTTAAAAAATTCTTGTCACCGTGAAAAAAAAAAAGGTTTTTGAAAGAAAAGTTTTAATTATTTTGTCATTGTCATTCCCAGCCGTATTTTTCTACTTATTTTTAATTTTCTTCCTCAAAAATTATTTTTGTTATTCCTTTTCTGAAAGACAATCGTTTGGAAAACAATTTTGAAAAATTGCGTAGTCATCTTTTACCTGAACCAATTTGCCCTTTTTTTCTCTTCCTAATTATAAGTTGTTGCAACAATTTTATACAAATATATTCGTTTTACAATGATATAATATCTTAGTAATTATAAGATTCGAAGCCATAAAACCGGATCGGAAAACATAAATTCCCTAAAAATATACAGAGTACATTTGTAGAGTTCTTCAACTTCGATCTCTGTTATTGGAATATTCTAGAATGTTATCATAGTTTCAAGGTAAACAACAACATTATCCCTTGTTTTGTGAATCGAAATAATTCTGTCAAAAAATAAAATATTTTTTTCCTTTTCTAGAACGTTCAACTGAAGTTAATTGTTCAATAGGAGAGCCGCTATCACTTTCATTGTTGGCCTTGAAACAGATTTTTCAGTTCATCAACCATCTTTTTTTTCTAATCAAAACCTAAATCGTCTCATATCAAAAAATAATAATTTGGAATTTTTCATATCTGTCAGCCGAGGAAATTCCTTTCGAAGAATAATAAATAAATAAATAAACGGACATGATTCACAATTACAATTATGCCCTGAAGTAAAATGGACTTGTGAACGGTGTGTGTGCTTTTTTCTAATTTTAGGTTGCAGCGAATGTTTTTTTTTTAAAAAAAATTGAAAATAAAACTAATTTTTTAAACACATTGTTTTTTATTTTTATATTTAAATTTTCTTTTTAACAACTACTGCATGTCAACAACAACAAAAAGAAACAGAACTGGATGTTCCATATTACCAAATATGAATATCTGGTTTAAAGAAAGTTAAATTCTAAACACATTTTTAAATTTTTGTATCATCATCGGTTATTTTAGTGAATGCACTTTTTATGATTATATCCCGACATCGATAATAATAATAATTTGGATTTTTTCGTATCTGAGTGAGGAGAATATTTCTTTTCAAGAATTAAACATACGGTAAAAAATAAAATGTAAACATAACATGTATGTAACATAAATGTAACATAAAATGTAAAATTTTGCACTGTAGCAATGTGCATTTAATGCATTTTTCTTTTTGCTACTTTAAAATACATCGCAGACATTTAAAATACGTAGAATGATATGTAGAATATGGATACGTAGAAGATCCGACAAGTAATAATAACACGGGGGAACAAAATTTTTGTCGCATTTGTGCAAGTATTTGATCCTACCCAATTTGGGTGGGGGGATTTAAATTTTAAATAAGTTTTGTTAAGAAAACTAAAGATTTTTTTCAAAATGATATTTGTAATTAATTAATAATTTTTTTTTTGTCTAAATGTATAAGTTTTTTTCTTCTTTTTTTAATATCTGTCGTTGAACAGCCAATCGAATTTTTGGGTTTCCGACTACTGATGTTCAACTACGTTGCCTTGTAATTTTGAACCCAATCCAGAAGACGATGGAACTTCTGGGTCAAGTATTGGACGAAATTTGCTTTCGTTCAGGACTTTTTGATTGACCTAACCCTCATTTGTGTTACATGGAGGGGAAGACCACGGGAACATCCCACAGTTAGCCTGACGTCAAACTCTAACCCATGATCCGTCTGTCACTGAGGATATTTCACGTCAGCACTGTGGTCGATGCAATTAGGATGTGGAATTCGCATCGATCAGCTATCGCTGGGATTCGAACCCACTTCACCTCATTGGAAGGCGAACTCTCTATCCCATGTACAAGTTTATAAAGAGCTTATAGGTTTATATATTTACATGCTCGATAGGAAAACTAAGGGGTAACTATGGATGCTTGATCGGAATTTTTGCATGCACGGGCATGTCTAGCATTAGAAATGTCAATCACTGATTAAGAAGTTGTGTTAGGTGATATCAGAATTGTAATATCAAAATTTATGATCAGACAATATCGGATTTCTCGATTTGTGGTGACATCTTTAACTAGTTAATTAATCTTCTGATTAATTAATTATTGACTGACTGATTAATTAATTTTCTAATTATAAATTATTAAAATTTATGATCAGACAATATCGGATTTCTCGATATCTAGTGACATCTTTAACTATTCAATTAATCGTCTGATTTATTAATTATTGACTGACTGATTAATTAATTAATTATCTAATTATAAAATATTAAAATTTATGATCAGACAATATCGGATTTTTCGATATGTGGTGATATTTTTCCCATTCAATGAATTCTTGTAATTTTTTACAATTATCAATATTTTCATTGTCCAAATGAAATTCATCAACTCACACGATAATATCTGATTCTATAATTATCGTTATCAATAATATTAACGTATTCGATATTTTGCCATATTGGTCCAATATTCGATGTTTACGGTAAGGCGTGATATTCAAGATGCGTCTGGAGAATCTATTCTAAAAATTATTGACATTGCGGTGTTAAAAAATATGGATTTTTTACGATACAGCGAACTATTGCCTAACTTAACACTGAAAAGGTTACAAAATTAGTTACAAGAAAACAAAAACATCTTGCTTAAATCAATCTTTTGTGCGTGTTTTTGACCTATTTGTCTAAGTTCGCTTACCCCAAATTGTATGCTTAAAAGATAATTATCATCGATGATGATATTTTTTTTGTGGAATCAGAAATTTAGCTCTGACGCTCTTTTTATCTCATTTACAAGATGATGTAACGTCATTTTCATAGATATTTAATGCAACGGCATATATGTCTTCATATTAGATGCATGTCTTAAACGTGTAGCTGCGATTATCATGATTTATTGAGCATTCTGGAGTTACTTTAAAGTAAGTTTTTCTTTAAATTAATTTAATTATTTTAGAATTAATTAGCAAGGAGAAATGTTGTTACGATTTGTATCTTTATAGATTTATTTGTTGGTTTTATGAATGCAATCTGAAAAGAGAATTGGAAATATTCCATGTAATATTGTAAATTAATAAAAGCTCTTTTTTTCGTCTTCGAAGAACTAATTATAGATCTGTGTTTTACAATATTACTTTTTCTTATAATTAAAAATATTGATGTTGGTATAATGATTTACTGAGCATTTTGGTATAAATTTAAGGTAAATTTTTCTCTACATTAATGCGAATTATTTTAAAATTAATAAGCAAGTAAAAATGTTACGATTTTTTAATATCGATTTACTTGTTGGTTTTTCGATTGCAATGCGAAAAAGAAATTGGAAATATTTTTTATGCAATATATTGCAAAATTAAAAAAAAGCTGTTTACTTGTATTCAAAGAATAAATTATAGATTAATATTTTATGATATTACATTCGCTCCTTTTAAAAAATGTTGATGTTGAAGTCATGAGTCATTGAGCATTTTGGAATTGATATAAGGTAAATGTTTCTCTACAAATACTAATTTCTTTAGAATTAGTAAGTAAGTAGAAATGTTGCTTTTTTTTATATAGATTTATTTCTTGGTTACTGAGTGCAATCCAAAATCGTTCAATATTGTAAATTTAAAAAAAAAAAGCTCTTTTACTTGTATTCAAAGAATTAATTATAGACTAATATTTTATGATATTACTCTTACTTCTTATTAAAAATATTGATGTTGAAATTGTGATTCATTGAGCAAATTGGAATTAACGCATAAAGGGATAATTTTTCTTCCCCAGAGAAAATATTGTTTGCATTTGTTTTAGTTACATATTGTTTACATAACCTTCTTTATACTTTAAGATTCGTTTCAGTAAAACATAATAATACAGAAGGAAAATTATTTAGATTTTTTCCACTTAAATTAAAATCCTTAGATATCAAGGATAATTATTTCATAAGTGGTATTTATTCTTCCTTTCAGTTAAATATTGTTTACATTTGTCTTAGTTACATATTGTTTACGTATCTTTATTTACATTAAAAATTGGTTTATGGAAGATATAAAACTACAGAAGGAAAATTATTTAGTTTTATTTCACCATAATTTAAATCCATTAGGAATGTGGGGTAATTATTCTTCCACTTGACACATGTTGCTTACATATCTTTGTTTACAATTAAAAATTGATTTTAGGAAGACATAAGACTTCCTTCCTTCCTCGATGGCACGACAGCCCCGGGTGGGCCCTGGCCTTCGCAATCAACTTTCTCCAGGCCTGCCTCCGCCTGGCAGTTCTCTTCCAGTTTGAGACTTTTAAGACTGAAAAGTCTCTTTCCACGCAGTCGGCCCATCTCAGCTTTGGCCGACCTCTGGGCCTTGATCCGATGGGCTGAGCCAAAAAGACTATGTTTGTCAAACGCTCTCTCTTCATTCGAATGATGTGACCAGCCCATTTAATTCTTTGGATTTTTAGACATAAGACTACAGAGGGAAAATTATTTAGTCTCATTTCATTTTAAAATAAATCTCTTAGGAATAAGGGATAATTATTCTTACTCTTAGTTAAATATTGTTTACATTTGTCTTAGTTACATATTGTGTATATAACTTTGGTTACATTTAAAGATTAGTTTTTAGAAGACATAATACTTTACAGGGACAATTATGTAGTCTTATTTCACTTTATTTTAAATCTCTCAGGAATAAGGGATAATTATTCTTTCTCTTAGTTAAATATTGTTCATATTTGTCTTAGTCATATATTGTTTGAGTATCTTTGTTTGCATTAAAAATTGGTTTCTGGAAGATATAAGACTGCAGACGGAAAATTATTTAGTTTTATTTCACTATAATTTAAATCCATTAGGAATAAGGGGTAATTATTCTTCCACTTGACACATATTGTTCACATATCTTTGTTTACATTTAAATATTGATTTTAACAAGATATAGGACTGCAGAGGGAAAATTATTTAGTCTTATCTCACTTTAATTTAAATCTCTTAGGAATAAGGGATAATTATTCTTTCTCTTAGTTAAATGTTGCTCATATTTGTCTTAGTTACATATTGTTTATATAACTTTGTTTGCATTTAAAGATTAGTTTTTAGAAGACATAATACAGGGAAATAATACAGGGAATAACAGGGAAAATTATTTAGTCCTATTTCACTTTAATTTAAATCCATTAGGAATAAGGGATAAATATTCTTCCTAGTTAAATATTGTTTACATTTGTCTTAGTTGCATTTTGTTTGCATTTAACACCTTTGTTTACATTTGTTTGGTTTTAGGAAGGTAAAAGATTAATGTGGGAAAATTATTTAGCCTTATTTCCTTTTAATTTAAATCCTATAGTAATAAGGTAAAGTTATTCTTTCTTTTAATTAAATATTGTTTACATTTGTGTTAGTTACATGTTGTTTATATATATTTCTTTACATTTAAAGATTGGTTTGAGATCGACATATGACCATCGAAGGATAATTATTTTGTTTTATTTCATTCAAATCCTTTGTTCTTAGTTACACATCTTTTAATTAAAAGTTGAAAGAATATCTCACTGAAAAATTCAGTCAACACTTTTTCTTCCATTATTGATATGAAGAAATTAAACAATACTTTTAAAAATCACGATTAACTAATAATTGTTAGCAATCTGATTTGAGTGAATTAGTTGAGATATTTTAAAGAAAGAGAAATGTATCTTTAAGTCTGACCGGTTTTTTTCATGCAGGTTGTTTCATAGTTACTGCTTTTAAACAAAACCTTGTATTAGTAGAATCCTTGTCAAAAAATGCATTTAGGGGTCACAAATTAATGTTTTGGTTAAGAAAAAAATAAAAATACTGCTTAAATCTAAAATATGTCTATCGGTATGTGGATTTAAAATTATTATCCCAGTCTGATTACAGGTTTAAACTTGAAAATGTATCTCAAAATCGTATGTTAACTCATTTCTGTTTCCTAACGAGTGTTTTGATATTTTTAATCCCTCCTCCTTCAATAGTGACTCATTAAATTTCGATAGTTTATTTCTTCCCTCACTTAAATTTTAATTTGCGACTGCTATTATGCATGTTTTAATTACTCTTTTTCTGGGAAGGATTCAACAAAATGTATAATTAGAATGGTGATTTCGCAAGATTCTGTATTTAGGTTCAATAAATTTCTGTAACAAAACAGCATATTATGCATCTTCATGGTTTTATGTTCAACTTATTAAATTCTGTTAAAATAATTCTTTTAATTTAATTTATGTTATAACGACATTTTATAAATAGTTATTTTTTCCTAAATTGAGTTTTTTCGAAAATTCCGATTAACCATGGCATACCATGGGCAAAATCAACGATCACCACCTAAATGTGAGGAGTAAAAATTGAAAGATTAACCATTTCTTATTTCTGATTGCAGCTGCTGTGTGATTAGGATCAGACCAAAATAATGGGTTCCAGATACGAAGAAATAATGGCAACCAAACCATATTTGCCTTATAGAATGGGATATCTCACTGATTGGATGGTAGATAAGGCCAGAGATGAGTTGAACGAAACTGATGAAATCAAAGCACCTGCACTCGCAGAATTAAGGGAATTAATATCTAGTAAGTCAATATAAGTGATTCCTAATGATTCCTGATTTTTCCTAGAAGGAAGATCATATTTCTCTTGTTTGTACTTAGTATTTTTTTTTTCTTCTTTTTCTTGAAAGGAATATAGAATTTTTCAAATTGTACGAATACGAAATGAAATATTTAAACAAAAAACATGCGTCTTTAAATGACAGAATTATTATTGCAAAAATGTGTTTCCAATATTGAGGTTAAAATTGATTGATTTAATGAAAAATGATTGAAAGAAATGATTGATTTTTAAAAAAGCAAATAATAGCTATATATCGAAAAAGATATATTTAATCCTTTTAACTAAATGTCATAAAAAAATTTAAATCACAGAATATGAAAAAAAAAGTAAATAAAAATTTTCTTTTAAGGTGAAAAGCTTCAAAATTTTATAAATATGAAAGAACTATACAATAATGCGTGTACTCAGAAAAATTTCTTTGAATTTAATAAGAAATTTTATAAATTTTAAATTTAACTATAGAAAACTTTAATTGGTTCAGAATTCACGATTCTAAGATTTTTTAAAATTACATTTCTCTTAGGTAGACTATATTACCAGCACTATTTGAAAACGAAAATGCATATGCCGTTATAAATAGTTTTATTTTGAATTCTAAAGTTTGATTTTTATTTTGTTAGTTAAAAATTAAATCAATGCCTGCAATAAAAACTTAAATTTTATTTATTTAAATGAGTTAATATGTTAGAAGTATTTATTTTTTTCAACACTGATACCTCGATTAAAAAATTATAAATAAGAATACAGTCAAATCTAGCTATGAACCTTCTAGGGATCGAAATTTTAGTTCACTATAACCGGGAGTTCACTATATCCGCACTGCAAATAATTTTAACTCATTTTTAGAACTACTCCCTTTTATTACATATAATTGAAATAAATGACCAATAAAAAGAAGCACAAAAATGATTCAAAATTAACTCAAAAATGATCCAAAATTGAATTTCAAAATTACCAAAAATTGAAGAAAAAAATCAGTCGAAGACAGAAAAAAGTTCATAATATCCAATTTCTTCTCTTGGTTCACTATATCCACAAAAAATAATATTACATGTGTATAGCAAGGCACGGGAGCGAACATTTCGTTCACTATATCTGGGAGTTCACTATAAACAACGTTCACTATAGTGGGGTTTGACTGTATTTGATAATTTATTTGATTAAGTTTTACTCTGTTATTATAAATGTTTTAACTTTGAATTTTAAAGTTCGATTTTAATTTTATGTAATACTTGAAAATTAAATCGATGCATGCAACGAAAATTCAACTTATTTGTTTAAAGTATAGAGTAAAATTTGTAAACGTTGTTTTGTTTACCCTATTGAAAGCGAATTAATAAGAACGAACTTATGAAATTAAGTGATGCGTTAGAGCCACAACTATATTTATATATAAAGATTAATAGAACAAAACGTTTTAAATTTATTTCCCTAAATTCATTACATATATTTTGCCGCTCCTGATTGTGTAGAATAAATAATATGAGCATTTTTATTCAATATTTTTTATTTGGTGCTGCCATCTGTATTCGATATGATGAATTTGCAAGAAATTTTTTAGATGTGCCGCATCTAAATATCGCTAAACGTACTTAAAGAAATTATTCCAACAAAGACAAAATAGAGTTGTCCTTTAGTATAATCATAATGTGATAATAAGTTCTGTAAACCGATATGCATACCAAATTTTAATAGCTCGAAATTGAAATTTTTCCTAGTAGTGATAAAACTGTTCTGTTTTTAATTTATTCAATAATTGCATATAATGTATGTCAAAACATACATTATATTATTAACATACTTTTTAAAGCATTTCGCTTAACTATTTTTCACAAATTTAAAGAATCACATTAAAAAAAAAAATTATCTATTTTTGTTAATGATATTTTGTATTGTACATATTAGTAATAATTGTGTATTATATTATGTAATTATTATAGGCATCATTTTTTTACAAACCACACCAAACGTGATGTATCGACTGATTATGCTTATTCGTATCCGTACTGTCGTCAATATTTAAGAGCTAGGAAATTCAACCCAAAGAAAAATTTCTTCAAAAATTTCTACAAAATTAAGAAAGATTACGCTCAACTAAATCCATATGATTTAGACGTTTTACGTTATTATGTAGTTTTAAACATGATTCAATTAATCGATCAAATAGTTTAAAATTTATTTTCCACAATTCTTAACAAACATTTTGCCGCTCTTAATTATGTAGAATGAATAATATGAGAGCTTTCAATTAATTCTTTGCTTGGTGCTGTCATCTACATTCGATAAGACGAAGCACAAGAACAACTTCCTCACTGCCACCGCTCTAAATATTTGAAATATTACTAAATAATATTCTTTTAACACATTTTATTTGGAAGGTTTTGCTAAACTATTTTATACAAATGAAAAGAATTATGTTAAAAAAAGTAATTATATGTTCTGTTATCAATAAAAACTTAATTATTTTGCAGAAGACACCAAACTAGATGTATGGACTGATGATGCTTATTTGCTTCAGTATTTAAGAGCTAGGAAATTCAACCCAAAGAAAGCATTTAATCTCTTTAAGAATTTCTACAATGTTAAACATGATTACGTTGAAGTTTACCCATATGATTTAGACGTCGACGGTTTAAGAAGCATTTTTACATCGGGAGCAGCTGGATCATTACCATATAGAGATGAAAATGGCTGCGTTGTTTTCATCTTTAAAGTGGGTAAGTTACAGAAATATCTTATAAAGATAACAAGTAATGATATTTATTCTGGTGTTGAGGATTGGAGGCTTGAACTAGCCCGGAATTTTATGACATTTTGATTTTTGAGCCTTTTTTTCTCTTTTAGGTCAATTTTGTTTTAAATTTTTGAGCGTTTTAGAACTTTTTTTTTAGTATTATTTTTTCAATTTTATTATGTTCAGAAGTCTATATATTTTCTTTCTCTTTTTTTTATTTAATCATATAACTTTTATTTCGAACTTAAATAAACGCACGGCATTTATTGCATTGTTGCATATTTTGACGTGCATATTTTATTTATTGCATATTTTGACGTGAATGAAAGTAATTTCTAAGAGGAAAACAATAAAAAACAAGAAAATAAATAAAAATAAAGAGGAAAATATCTAAAAAGTGGTGCAATCCAATATAATGATTAAAAAAATAAATAACAAGTGATAATATCTCCCAGTTTGTAAGAGAATCGTTTTCAAAAGCGTTGTGGATTCCTAGTTATGTACAAAAACAAATGCATGAAAACAAAACTAATGCATAAAAACAAAACTAATGCATAAAAACAAATGTCCGAACAGGGATAGTCTGATCCAGAAAAAACCTTGAAGCCGAAGATATTTTAAAAAGAAAATGGCCAGCCAGATCTCTAAACCTGAATCCCATCGTGCATGTATGGAATACACTCGTCAAAGCAGCTGCAGTTCCCCAACGCACTTTCTGAAATCACCCGGATTTATAAACTTTCGGAATGGAGAATTGGGATCTATTGTCCCACTATCTTAGGCAAACTGCAAGCACTAGAAGATTTTTGCCACAATTTTTGTCTTTCAATAATGTAAATTTTCATTCTTGAAAATGGGTTTATTTCTTAACTGCTATACATAAGCGTATATTGCAGAGGATTTCTCAATTATTCTATTTACATATTGCTGATAGACGAAAACCTAATTTGTTCTGTTTGATTCCATGCGGTTAACTTGTAGCGCTCTGGTAGCGTAATTGGTAAAAGTGGCGATAACTTTACTGCTGGAGAGCCTGGGGCAGTGAGTTCGATCCTGCAGTCGACTACACTGACGTGAATACGCTGCAAGATGCGCGATAAATATGTCCCAGACTGAATGACTTCTTGCTTTAATAACAATAATCAGCTAATAATTCAAGAAAACCTGGTTGGAAATTGCAATTGTAAATTAAGTAATAGCGAACAAAAATACATACAGGCCTGTATTTCCTTGCAATCTTCAACACGTTTTTTTGATCATTTTAAAAATACAGTGAACTCTCACTTATGCACCGGTGTAAGGGGCCAAGAGAAAAAAGCGCATAAGTGAAAGAGGCGCATAAGTGAAAAACTTCAAAATTTTAAAACGCAACGTAAATGGCAGTGACAATATGAATAAATATGTTTCAATAGATTTAATGTTAATATTTATACTGTTTTGGTATTTACAATAATTATACAAAGAAAAAATTTAACATACCTTAAGACAATTTATTTTCTTACAAAATAATCTTAATACATGTTTGTATTTGTTTTTGCCGACGTTATTCAAAAACAGTTTTTTCCAGTTCATATTAATGGGATAAGGGGGAGTTTCAGGAGCAAAATTAAATTGTAAATAGTCAAGAATAGTGTCTAAAGCTTTCAATACTGCTGTGAGATTTGGAGGAACTTTATCATCTCGTCAGTATCATCCACCACGTTCTCATCATTCACAAGTTTTAGTTAGATATGAATGAACAGTTCTTCACAAACAATTTTAGTTTTATGGGAGGGGGTGAAACATCATATATAATTTCTAAAAAAAGTACTTGACGTCATAATATGCTGCACAATAAGTTTTTCAAGTATTTCCCTCACTAAACAGATCACTTCCTTTTATGTACTCATAATGCCCATCTGACTGCAAGTAAGTGATCGCGGTCTCTTTCATCTTTCTTATTCGAGGTGTCTTCTTTTTCTAGAAAACAGCATGGGAGTAAAACTAACCTCTGGACAAGAGGAATGGTCATTTTCAAAAAGATGAATGGGCTTTCCTTGTTGTTGGTGTAACAGATAAGACACCCTATTAAAAATTCTAGAAAGAATGTCGTTCCAGAAACAGCAAAAATGAAAAGGTCACAGGGAGAAGCAAATTCAATAGGATCTAACAACATATATTTCTTTTTATGTGTAACAAGGATTGCTCATTTGCTTCACTTTTAATTCAAAACATTTTTTTTAAAAAAGAAAAAATATTTAAAGGATTAAAAAAAAAATGTTAGCCTAAAATTTCGGCGCATAATTGAAAAATTTATTTTTAGAGCGTCGCATAAACGAAGGATGTTTATCATTATTTTCCTATCTAATGTTCTGGGACCTATAAAAATCGTCGTATAAATGAAAAAGGTGCATAAAAGAGGTGGTGCATAAATGAGAGATCACTGTATGTATTTTAAATTCCATATTCAGCGAATTGAGATCAATCTTTACAGTAGGGTTTCCCAGTTAGAAGGAAATTTAAAAAATATAGTTTTGCAATATAATGTGATTTTTAAAAGGTAGATAACTTGCTTTACTTTCTACGCAATCGCTACTTCGATCAATTAATTTTGTAGACACTTCGTCAGGTTTTCTATGTTCATGTCTTATTAGCTCCCTGTTACTTCTTCTAGGACTGAATACCACTTTCATTTCCTTATTGGACGTGTTCACCTCATTATCACCTTCATTTTTCTTTCAACTTTTTATTTCTTTCAACTGAAAAAATAAGTGATGTCTATTGGGTGCTAAGCCAAGTGTATAGGGTGGGAATGGGATTAATGTTTCAGTAAAACTGTTGCAGAAGAGAGACGATTTAATTTGCGAAGCAAAACATGAGATTTAATGCTTTCTCTGACATTCTCAGATTTCCCACGGGTCTCGTAAATTTACACCGAAGAGCCATTACATTATGACCACCCTGCTAATAACATGTAGGACCACCTTTAGCCCTCAAAACTGCTAGCACCCGCCGTGGCGTTGATTCCACAAGGTGCTGATATATACCTATGCTGATATATAGTCTGAGGTATCTGGTATCTGCAGTTCCCTCACATTGCGAGGGGGTAGCGTAGCAGCACGAATTTGGTTTTCCAAGTAGGACCACAAATGCTCTAATGCTCCATTGGATTTCGTCAGGTGAATTTGGGGGCAAGGACATGTCTTGAAAGTCACTGGAATGTTCCTCGAACCAATCCATGATGATTCGACCCTTATGACATGGCGCATTATCCTGTTGGTAAACACCATCCCCTGCAGGAAAAACAGTTGCCATGAATGGGTGAACCTGGTGTGCAACTATGTCCAAGTAGCTTACGGACGTCAGGGATTGTTCTATGAGGAATATGGGTCCTAATGTGCCCCATAAAAACATTGTTCCTGGGCGAGAAACCATGGAAACCTGCGCGAGCCCATTGTTATAGATGGAGGATGGTCATAATGTAATGGCTCTTCGATGTATAATGATATAGGAAAATTTACCTTTACATCCGTAGAAATGTCTTTTTTAAGAATACGACTTAAAGGCTTGAGATCAGACTGATTACAATTCTAGTACATGTATGCTTCCTTTAAAAAATAACATTTAGAGGTAGTCATAAATGAATTAAAATATCGAATTTTGTTTTATTTTCATCATCACTCTTTAAAACTTTTAAGATCTAAAACGACTCTGATTATTCTTCTCCGTTTTTTCCCCCAAGTTTGGGTTATAATAAAATTTTCTTATTTTCAGCTAAATGGAATCCAGATGTTTTCCCCATAAAAACTGCTCTTTCTGCCATGACAGCTATAATACTAGCGGCTGTTGAGGATCCAGCAACGCAAGTGTGTGGCGTTCACATTTTTCTGGATGTGAAAGGGACATCTTTTAGGCAGATTCGTTGTATCACTCCAAGATACATTCAGTTGTTTTCTAAAGCACTCAGAGTAAGTTATTTGTTTGGGGAATTCCCCCCTTTTAATTTTTGCTTAAATTTTCAAAAGTGCCCTCTTTCGTTTTGGTTAACTCAGTGCTCCCAAAGGTCCACCAAGTGGTCATATATGAAGTGGCTCGGGCACTTGCAAAGATTTGAGAACCCTAATCCTGATAGGAAACTGCCTTTGGACAGACCATCTCAGGCTTCAGGAAATAGAGGTCACCCAGTTATCATGTGGCTGGAGAATGTAGAAGAAGAATTTAGCATGTTAGCTGTCGGGAATGGGAGAACAGTAGTTAAGGATTGACGGCTATAGTGGAAGTTGACTGGGACGACCTGGGTAAAGCTGTAGTACCGAAACGAAAAAAAAACGCCAAATTCATTTTATAAAATACATAAATTATTATTAAAACTCATTATTAAATTTTTCTTGATTTTCAGAAAGATTTGGAAGCTTATTGCACCCACAAAAGTCGGATATATACTAGATAATATAGTTTAAATAGAAGTGGTTGTGAAAGTTGGAAAACTTCAAATTGCTTTGATGTGTAGTTTGTTATTACTTGAATGTTTTTCATGGACCTTTGGGAGTCCTGTTAAACTTTTCCCTTTTTCTCAACCCTCTAAGCGGTGAGCCGGTGGGTAAAATTGTACTGACATTTTCCTGCTAAGCACTGTTTTCCACTTTCAGTAACATGGGAAAGCCAGTTTTTTTAAGCAGGAATGTTCGGAAAAGTCCGAAACTAACGTTCAGGAGGTATTTTCCAGTACTGGAGTAAAAGTGGGGTAAAAACGGGTTGTAAAAACTTAAAATTATAGAATAAAATAAGCTCTTACTATTCTTAATCATAAAACTTTATTTATCACTATGGGTGAGAGAGAGTTTCAAGTGGGTGTATAGCGTAACAAGTTCTGTAAGCCAAGCAACTTTCTGTTCTTGGGTTTGTGAGAAAGATTCCAATCTTCCCTTTGAGTAAACCGTGTCGTCGTAAAACTTCCGGGTTACGATTTCCGACTGATTTTAACACCTAAGCCATCCAATATTGTTATACTTGTAGTGTTTTTAATATAACACGTTCTTTTTATTTTAACGAAACAAACAACAAAAGAATGCGGATGACTCCACAAACTTGCTATGATGCTACCTAAAAAATAACAAACAGTGCTATAGCACTGTTATAGCCTAATAAGGGACAACACTCAAAGCATGGCTAACCTTACACTTTATTTATTCTGCGATGTTAAATTTGTTATAGGCTCATGACCTATTAGAGTTTATAAATTACAGAAAACTCTTATGAATAGTAAAATTGCATGTAAATTTAAAAGCAAATCACAATAATAATACTAAGCCTGTTCACACATCGCCTTGTAAGCATGACATAAGCGTAGGGATACACAGGAAGTTTTGTATATTTCTTCCGGTCTTAGGAAGCTTGTTATTGTTTACATTCAGTCAACCATCCATTGTTTACCTAGGCCTCATGTAAAAGCAACGGAATATGGAAGCAGTGGTGCAAAGTACCGATTTGATAGGTTGAAACTTTCTTACAAATTAAAAAACATGTAAATTTTTGATGAATTAAAAACCTAATTTTTATCTTGCTAGGTTTAGGGACCTTCAGTATCATGAAAACATATTAGATTTTGTTTAAATACCCAGATACATGTTTTACTGGATACAGAATCTAAAGGCATAAATAAATATATTTTTAATCTTCAAGCAATTAATAATCTGTAAAATCGAAACATTGATTTATTAAAATAAATCAATGTTCCTTTTATTAAAATAAAACTTTGATTTAATTTGTATTCCCAAAGACTCCCAAATATAAATTTTTGGAGGAAAAAATTGTTCTATAAATTTTACGCTATATTTTGTAGTGAAAAAAAAACATTACTTTGTTAACTCATTATATACCAAGGGAGATGGACAAAAAAATTGGAAATTTTTAAAACGAATTGCTCTCTAGTTTTGTGATTCAGGGAAAAAAGTGGGGTAGGATTCAAAATGAATCTTTTCTTTAACAAAAAAGCTACTTAGCTCGCAAGTTCCTTCTTGTAGGGCATGTGAAAACAATACGCATAAATGGCCGACCTAAATGGTCAAAAAACAACGATAAAAGCAAAAATTTAACATTATTTTCCTTTGTATATTTTTAGAACACATTAGCTGTGAGGTTTAAAGGAATTCATATATTCAACGAATCCTTCATTTTTACATATCTTTATAACATAATCAAGATATTTCTCACTGACAAAATCAAGAAACGAGTAAGTATAGTTTCTTCTATTTTAATAACTTCAACAAAAACTAATATTTTAAACAGTTTCTGGTGTGTGTTTTATTCAAATATTTATTGTTGCATACGAAAATAGAAGCTTTTTAACTGTCCGCTTAAGAAAGTGACTTAGTTATTAGCAAAAAGGAAAAAAAAAGAGCGGTGATTAATGAACGTTAGTCTAATGAGTTTGTTTTTTCTGTTTCAACCATTTTATTGTAGAATTACTTTGGGAAATTAGGCAGTTTGCTATATTAGAAGAACAAAAAACTGCATAATTTTAAGCTTCAGGCAAAGCTCATCCGCTATTTTCGACTGAAATTTTGATAAACGGAATGTCAGAGAGGATACAGTATAGTTATACTCTTTATATTGTACTATGTGTTTTTTATACTCTTTTTCTAATGAGACCATCCATTAGTAATCAGCGCTGGGGTTCCCGCAAGGGCTTGCACCCTATCGCTTGTGTACCGCACCAGGCGCTACTGAGACCATCCAGGTTCGAAAACTGATTATGGCTGGTCAATTCGTATTCTGCAATTGGCTTGCTCAGAACATAATGCTGACAATGGTGACATTTTTCCCTATCTCAGAGCATCGAGCTGGTGTTATGTAAAAGGGATTACCAGAATGTTAGTTAGAATTGCTTTGACGTTATTCTAACCGTGGGAGGCAGTAGCGATTTTTCTCTCATTGCAATGCAAATAAGGGTTAGTTTCATTCAAAAAGTCTTATAAAGTAGAACATTGAATTTTATAGATTGGATGTTCAACAAACGGTTATAAAGTATAATATGAAAAAAGAATATTCTGAAAAAGCTGTACGACTCAACGATATTTGAAACGACACGAGTACGAATTCCGAACATATCGATTTAAATCGTAACTGTCCCCCATCATTGCACTAATCACTCCTCTACCGCAAATGGCTGAAAGCAGCTAGATTACTCAAATGTTTGACAGCTCATTGATTACTTAATTACTGGACAACACTGGTATTACTCAAACAATAGACATCTACTGGATTACTCAAATAGTAGATATCTTCTGAATTACTCTAATTGTAGACAGCTTCTTAATTTCTTAAACGGTATACAGCTCCTGGATTACTCAAATGATAAACAGCTGTTGCTTTAACGTCTGTCTAATCATGAAAGTGCTTCGTGATTGTTTTCCTTCTCAACGTAATGCTATTTCCTCTAAATTATTTTACGAAATAGAGTTTGTTCTGATGTTTTTTCCATTACTTCATACGTATAGGTTAAAAACTACGATTCGAATGATTCATTTTATTTTGTATATTTTTACATAAAATATACTCCCTTTGTTCCAAATTAGTTGCTACATTTGAATACTTTTGTATTCACTATTATAATACTGGTGATTGTATGATTGTTTTGTGTAAAGATTTTTCAGATATTCCAGGGTGCTATGCTATCATCAATCAACAACTTTTACTTACCAAGCATTTCGTCCTTTAATTAGTATCAAATTAGTTTAAAAATTCCGGCAATCGCAATAGAACTGACTCTTGCACCACCACGATTACAACTATTTTCTTGTTAACGAATCGTGAATTCATTTGTGGTATAAGTATGCTGGTGTCGGTTTATCAAACCTCATCGGAAGGTATTTATGGCTTTTACCTACTTGAAATATAGCATCTCATTTGGGACAAAATTTTCGCCCTGTATGTTGCAACTAATTTGGAACGGAGGAGAGTTTAGTTTAAGAGGTTTCGATAAACTATTATATTTTAATGTGTTTTGAATATTTAAAAATAATTATCTTACTTTCAGTTTCATTTCCATGGTGATAATGCCAAACATTTGCACAAGATTATTCCAAAAGCTATCTTGCCAGCAGAGTATGGTGGCGACAATGTTAACTACAATGAAAGCGAATGGTGCCAAAGAGAAATCGAACTGTTCTATGATAGATTCACAGAATTGCATAAAAAGGGATATTTTTGAAATTAATTCTCGATATTTTTTAAACACATTAATCAAACTTCAAAGATATTACCAATGGTTTCTCATCGATTGTTACACCATATGACTTCTCAATGAATAACAAGAACTTCATATAGATCTGTACGCGAGTGGCTTATTTGTCAATGCGTTTAAGCGATCCTACTAGTGTCCTGAAAAACTGTTGGTTAAGTTTCTAATAAGATATTCTAAAACTCACCATTTTACCATTTAAATTTAAAATTCCTAGAACAGATATCTAATAGAGATTCTGAAATTTTTTTTTAATTCGAAAGGTAAAGTGGTCAGTTGAGGAATATAATTTTAGAAATTTTCCCCGTAGTTTTTTTTTCAGGACACTGACAGCTTACGTTGAAGTCCTTATTTGACTGGCTCTAATTTGCTTCAAAACACATTAGCATTAAATGATCTATTGACGAAATGCTATCAGTGAAGCGATTGCGTCCAAAATGAACTAGTTGAAGTTCAATAGTGTAAATAAAACTACATCGCCTGCCAAATATTGAACATGATCTTGTATGCATTGTACTGTTCAAAAAATGTTTCAATGTTCTGTATGTTAGTGGATAAATTTTTGTATGCCTTTCTCACTTCATATAATTAAAATAACCTCAAAATTTGTTATAAAATGTATCAAATATTTTAAGTGTTTTCAGATAAAAATTATTGACAAATAAATGACTTTAATTTAATTATTGACAAATAAACGGCTGTAAATCGAGTTGCCATAAAATTAAATTCTTATTTAGAAAAAACAATGGAGTTGCCATAAAATAATGTTTTCTTTCTCCATAAAATCGAAATTGACTATCCTAAAATGATTTTTGAAAGAAGATTAATAAATTTGAAGTGCCATGTTTTTCGTCGTTCAATTGTATTTTGTTAGAAAATCAAAATTATCATAAAATGCGCTTTGCATAAAAGTTGGTTGTCATAAAATTTAACTTTTTCATGAAATGGAGTTTTGTTATTAATGACACAAATAAAGGTGCCAAAAATAAAGTATGCCATACAATTTACTTTGCCACAATATTTATTTTAATAAACCTAATTAAGAATTTAGCTTTGAAAGATAAAATTATAACTGTGTTACAAAGGGGTTTTGCAATAAAATAAGAGTATTAGCATTGCGATTGTTATATGATAGAGTCAAGAGAAGATAGAGTTCCATAAAATGGAGCTCTATTTAGTCGCCGTTTTATTCAAAATTATTTTATGAATCATATTTGTTTAACGGTCAATGTGAGTCCAATCACCCATGAAAATTATTGTAGCTGGCAAAAACATAAAAGCAAAAAGAAGAAAAAAAAAATATATATATATATACTATATAGATAAAAGTCTATAAATCTAATTCACCATATGAATTTACTAAGCGAATTTTGTAAATAATTTTGCAAATTCACTATGTGAATTAGATGCTCGTTAAATCATTCAGTTCAAAAAAGATATCGTATGAATCACATTCATTTCACCATAACCATTCAATCAATTTAAATGACAAATATGGAAGCGGCGAAAAATATGAAAACAGTAAAATCAGAGCATTTAGATCTATATTTACAATTGTAATTAAATTAATTAGAAAATAGAAGATTTATAATTTAGAATTTAATTAAAATTCGAATTTTTCTTATTACATTTTCTAATTCTTTTGCTAATTAAATTTCAAAAATTCGCTGTACAAATTTTACCAATCATATGTCAATCGTAATTTTTATAAATATTGTATCAGTACTATACAAAAAATCACAAAATAAGGAATGCCTAGCATATACGTTTTAAGTGTAAAACATTACGGGACTTTTTTAGATCTCTATGTTTATTAAGTTTGAAATGTCTTAATTTATGTTTTTTATTTATTGTGTATGATCATTTTATCATGAAAAAAATGTTTTGTATTTTTGTAAATAAATATTTAAATTATGTTAATTGGTTTCTTTTTTTTTTGGTTTTTTAAAAATGCATATTTTTATCAATAAATAAACAAACAATAACCAGGGCCATTTGGATATGTGAGAATTGAGCAGAGATATATATCCTGCGAAAGAGTAATATCCTATAAACTAAATTTTTAAACTAACTGTTCCTTACACAAGGATATTTTTCCTAAAAGCAGGGTATGGATATTGGTAATAAATGAAAATATGGGTCCCAGGACCACCAAATTTTCTGCACCTTTTAATACTGACCGTACAAGCTGCTAAATACGAAAGTAAAATTAGTTTTTTAATATATATATAGGGTAAACTAACCAGTGAAGGAACACTTAAGCTTCGCTTGCCTTTTAAAAAATCATATTAATTTCAAAATTCGTAATTTTAGTTAAATGTACAGTGTCAACATAATTGTTACTAATTACAAATTATGTAAAAAAAATTGTAGAGAACTTACATAATATTGTTTTAAAGTTTTGGAGGTTCAAATAACCATTAACATCACGTCAACATTGTACCGCTAAAAAATTGCTTTTGCCTGCTCAATATGTATGGAAATACACTTCATAATTACCTATGCGGAGAAAATATTTCGATATCAAATTATTCTTTTTTTTTTTCAGAATTAGAATAAATTAAGAAAACGTTTTTATAAAACATAAACACTAAGTGAAACCCTTCTTATTACAATGGCGTTACATTCAATATATTAAGAAAAGAATTCAAAATAACTAGAGCAATTTAAAACAAAACTTCCAGAGGAAAAACGCGCTATGCAGTTGTATTCCAAGAGGAATTGAAACAAAAGAAACAATGAAAAATTGGGACAACCGAAGCTGACGTCTTCAAGGGGTACCAGCTCCGGAAGCCATAAATGCAAAACCTTTTCTATCGAGAGAGCACGACAAATGTCTAAATTGCTTTCTCTGTAACCCAAAGATAATACAAAAGTATAAAATCAAGACTAATACATAAGAAAAAAATGCACAAAAACTTACTTGAAACATAAATCCCATAACCAAATTACACAACTGACTGCCAAATAACAACTAAATTGAAATAAACGAAAAATTATTCGTTTATTTTATTTGATTTATGTATTTTATATTTTGTATTGTATTCTCTTCCTGTACTTTGGCAAAACCTTTGGGGTACAGAGAGAGCAATTTAGACATTTGTCATGCTCTCTCGATAGAAAAGGTTTTGCATTTATGGCTTCCGGAGCTGGTACCCCCTGAAGACGTCAGCTTCGGTTGTCCCAATTTTTCATTGTTTCTTTTGTTACATTCAATAACATTTACTTCCAGATGATAGTTTAGAGAATATCGTCAATTTCCTTGCGTGTGTGGCTTTATATTAAGACAATTTGCATATAAAATAAAATATAATAATATCGATAAAAAATACTTCAAAACTTATTGTTATTGTGTAAGAACAAATCAGTAAAACGTCAGTTTTTACAACAAACAAAACTCACACAGAAGTCTAAGATCTGTCTCTCCATCGCTGCATAACGCAACAAATAAATAATAGTTTTTAAATGTCTAGGTGGTTTATTTTTATTTAGCGTAAACTAACCAGTGAAGGAACACTTAAGCTTCGCTTGCCTTTTAAAAAATCATATTAATTTCAAAATTCGTAATATTAGTTAAATGACAGTGTCAACATATTTGTTACTAATTGCAAATTATGTAAAAAAAATTGTAGAGAACATACATAATATTGTTTTAAAGTTTTGGAGGTTCAAATAACAAGTAGTCAGAAGACCAAGTGAAGGAACAGCTCTTACCAGTGAAGGAACACAAAATTACCCAGTAAAGGAACACTTAATTTTGGTTATTGTTTAATGCTCTTTAAGAATTTATAAGCCATACAAACATTTAAAAACAAGCCTATTCTTGAAATTATAACATATAATTACTTGGAAAATGTTAACTGTTTTTTGTAATCATGAATTGAAAATTAAAGTGTCAACATATTAACACATACTGTTCATTCACTGGGAAATCTATGCCCAGTAAAGGAAC